CTACTGGCCGCTCATGCTGGCTGCTGGCTACATACAGTGGCCCATGGCAACCCACTGCCACAGGGGCTGCAGCCTATGCCGTCGCCAGCAACTCACGGCAGCCCAGCTCCAGGTTGAGCTGTTGTTCAGCATCTTAGCTGTGGAGGTCAGTGTCACTGGCCCTCATATGTGGGATCCAAACTGGGGCCCTATGGCATCCCAAGCCAGTTCTTAACCAACGTGCCACTCGGCCGGCCCTAAAGGTGTCATGTTTTTCGAGCTCCTACCAAGGAAGCAATCAATTCAAATGTGTACTGTTGGCAATTGGACAGTTTGAACAAATCCATCATCCAGAAAAGTTCAGAGCTGGTTAACTGTAAAGGAGTTGTGTTCTATCACGACAACGGGAGACCACACACAAGTATGATCACCCATCAAAAATTATTGGAGCTTGGATGGGATGTGTTGCCACACCCACCATATTCGCCTGACCTTGCGCCGTCAGACTTCCACTTGTTTCGCTCTCTTTAAAACTTCTTGCGTGGTATAACATTCAATTCAGATGAGGCTGTATATCAGCACCTTGTTCATTTTTTTGCAAATAAAGACAGGTCCTTCTATGAACAAGGAATTATGAAGCTCACTAAAAGATGGCAAAAGGTTATCGAACAAAACAGGCAATATACCATTGACTGATCTCTGTTCTTTATATAAATAAGTGACCTTTGAAAAACATAAACAAAATATATCATGACTTTTCCAAAGACCCAATAATTTAGGATCTCCTACTTTTTCCTACATTATTCGTGTAAGGGAAATATGTTTGTGGTAATACCCTGGGCTTCAGGATAAGTTGTAACATCATCTTAGTAAATTAAAGTAGTATAACTGATTTTACAATAACAATATAAAGATGATTTATATCGTTCTAAATGACAGAACTGATTTGACCAACACAGTTCACTAGACTAGGAACTTTTACACATGACTCTACACTTCACAATACCAGTTGTTGAGAATGTCTAAAATCCAGTCATTTTATTTCCTGTTTATGTTTTTCTTATTCTGATCTACCTGGTTTCTGACGAAGGCCTCGTCCTGGAATTTAGGAGGCAGATACTGATAATCCACTAGAGAAAAGTCATCTCTCCCTTTCTCATTTATCGTATCAGAATATGGATCCTTAAAGCGCACTTTCTAAAAGACAAAAAAAAACAAAAAAACAAACAACTGTAAATTGTCCCCTAAGAGTAATGTGATAGCAATAACATTCTAAGCTTTACTGAGAACCTTACAGTAATTTTTAAAACTCAGGATAATGTGAAATATTATGGAATAAAACAGAAAACCAAACTTTTTGTCGGTTCTGAAGCCTAGCTGAGAACAAGTTTTGCAAGCTCCAAACTCAACCCTAAAGAAATCAGTTCCTGCTGGTCTCTCTCCTTTTTCTGTTCTACCTTGCCCTGGATGGAGGCCTGATCTTGATTCCAGTAGAGAAGATCCTGATGGACATCCAGAGGAAATACCTCTCTCCCTCTGCTACCTATCAAAATTAAGGTTGACTGCTTCAAACTTCCTTTCTAAAAAAGAATAAACACAAAATGTCAATTGTTCAGTTAAGAAAGACAACCAATAATACTTTAGGCTATCATGAGAATTCTGGAGTTAACTGAGGTCAGAGTATAACTAGGCATTTTAAGGAATAAAACAAAACACTATACTCTATTCCACATGAGCCCACCCAAAACCCTAAGTAATTTACTTTCTGTTGATCCCTTTCTTCTTCCTTTTGGTCTAACTGATCTCTGATGGAGAGCTGGCCTGGGAACCTGGGTAAAAGATACTGTTGGACGCTTGTGGGCCACTCCTTTTTCCATCTTTCAGCTGTCAAAGCAGATGATAACTGCCAGATATAGTTTTCTTAATGAAGATTAAAAACAAAAAAGTAAATTGTCCAGGAATTCCCAATTTGTTCTTTGCACATGGCCTTCAAACCCTTAAAAAGTGAAACTGCATAGGATGTGTCTGAAAAGAGTCTCACCAGATCTCCCCTCCTACTGGTCTCTGGTAAAAGCACACAATCCCTTCAGCTTTGATATATTTTTCCTTCTCTTATAACCTGTTGAGGGCCCCATTCCTACTTTATACAGACCACATCTACTTAAGTTAAGGGAAAAAATAAAAGTTAACCTTGATTTATTAATGTCATAAGTGACCCTGTTAATTTTATAATAATTAGTGCATTACATATTAAAAGTCTCTAAAACATTTCTTGCCATTGATGAAATCCTATTTTAACTTTTGAAACAAATATGCATATATTAAAAAGATCCTGTCTCAAAGGAACAATTAAGACTGTGAAATATATAATTTTGATAAAATGAAAATTTCTAATTTAAATGCAAGGTTTTTAGTTTTAAAAAAATAGTGGAATTAAAATTAAATAGGTTGTGAAGGTATTAAACATTTTTGCTCAAGTTTCCTTTAATTTGATAGTGATCTAAAATTTTCCCGGTACATTTTTAAATTAATATTTCAATCAGTCAAATGCATTTGAGTGGGTGACTTTTGAAGAAAATTCGAAATATTAAAATAAAGAAGAGAAAGAAAAAAAAAGTAAACTGTCCAGACAGGCAATATGCTGCTGATAATATTTTAACGCTTAATGAGAAGACTGGAGTTTTTAGAAACCAATCAGGAAACTATTTTTTCCAACTATGAATCACCAAATCATTCCTTGCAAATCCCACTCCCAACCTTAAGTAGCTTATTTCTTCTTGTTATATCTCCTTTCCACTCTATTTTACCTGATATCTGGGTAGAGAACGCTGATCTTGACATTTGGACAGAGTATTCTGGTCTTTGGGGACAACACGCTGATCTTTGGGGAGCACACATTGGTCTTTGGGTAGAAAATGCTGGTCTTGATATTTGAGTAGAACATTTTGGTCACTGGGTAGAATATCCTGGTCTTTGGGTAGAAAAGCCTGATTTTGGGGTATAAAATCCTCGACTTCCAACATAATACTCCCATCTTCTAGTTCAGTACTCGGAGCTTCCAGTATAATAATATCCTGAGTTTCTGTCTTAACAACCTGGACTTCAGCATCAATGGCTTGAGCTTTGGGCTCAACAGCTTGGCCTTCCAGCTCAGTAGCTTGGGTATTTGGCTCAGTACTCTGGGCTTCCAGTTCAATACTCTGGACTCCTGCCAAATCACCCTGCATTTCCAGCAGATCACCTTGGGCTTCTGGAAGATAATCCTGAGTATCTGGCGGAATATCCTGAAGACCCTGATGATGTAACTGCTTTAGCTCTTCCTCTTCCACCACAGCAAATAATGGACTTTTGAAATGTACTTTCTAAAAGTGAACATAAAAATCAAATATAGAATGCCAGGTAGCAGCAACACTCTAGATTTTCCAAGAGATTCCTAAAATAATCTTAAAAGGGTATGGTAGTCAAACAAATTATTAGAATAAAATGTGAAATTATAGTCTTTGCTCAACATACTTAAATCTACAATCCCAAACCTGTACAACTGTACTGGCATCCCTATTCTAAATCATAATTAGTTTAATTTATATTATACTATTTCCTTTCATTCTGCTTTACCCGAACTCTGCCGAAAGGTATGTCCTTGTCTTCAGAAAGGAGATCCTGCTGGTCCCAGCACAACAAATTTTCTCTCCCTTTCTTGTCTATCATAATAGATGAAGATTCCTCAGGGTCAGGATCCTAAAGAATACACAAACAAATGAAATAAATAAATAAATAAGTAAACAAATGAAATAAATAAATAAAGACAAATGTATCTACTACAGGTAGAAACAATGTGATTGCAATAAAATCCTAGGCTTCAGCACACTACTAATACAATTTTAGTAGATCAGCATAGTCAAGTATTATAAAAACAGGATATTACAAAAGAAGTATAAGACTGTACACTGAAAACTATAAAATATTGTTCAAAGAAATTAAAGAAGATCTAAATAAATGGAAAGACATTCCATGCTCATGATCTCAGAAGACAATATTGTAAAGACAGCAATAAACCCTTACATTAACAGCCAACTGATTTTCAACAAGGGTGCCAAGGCAATTAAATGAAGAAATAATAGATTTTTCAACAAATGGTATTGGGACTAGTGGATAAACCACATGCAAAAGAATTAAGTTGGAACACTTCCTCACACCATTTATAAAAATTAACACACAGGGCCGGCCGAGTGGCGCGATGGTTAAGAACTGGCTTGGGACACCAGAGGGCCCCGGTTCGGATCCCACATATGAGGACCAGTGAAACTGCCCTCCACAGCTGAGATGCTGAACAACAGCTCAACCTGGAGCTGGGCTGCCGTGAATCGTCGGCGACGG